GATGCATTGTGATACCACTGTGTTACATCTCCGTTCGACCACACAAACGACCTTAGTGTGATACCCAAGCACATATAAGATGCATTGTGATACCATTGTGTTATATCTCCGATCGACCACACAAACCACCTCAATGTGATACCCAAGCACACATAAGATGCATTATGATACCATAGTGGTATCACCGGAGGATGGTGGCCGGAGGATGGGGAATGTGGAGAGGAGAGAAGAGGGAGGAGAGAAGAAAGAAGAGAGTTTTAAAATACCTAAAATGTCCTTGCATTAAAATTTTAATCCAAAATTACCAAAATTAGAAATTTCTTAATTTATCTATTGATTTGTGGTTGAGATTGGACCTCAAGGTTACCACAAACTAATTAGTTCTCATTTGATTAAGCCCTTGTATGTGTGTGTGTGTGTGTATATATATATATATATATATATATATATATATATATATATATATATAGACGAATGGTTGTGTGAGATTATGACTTAAGGTGAGAATAAGAAGGGATCTGGATCCATATGATCACTTTTAATCTCACCCTACCCTGTGAATCGTGCTTTTCTCGGGAATTGGTCTGGTACATCTCGGTGCATCGCATTAATCTTGATCTGCAATTAAGATTGATCCAAGGGTGGATATTCAATCTTACCCTTCTCACTGAGACTTACATTCTCACCGGAATCTAAACTTATATATATATATATATATATATAGACACACACACACACACACATACTTGATATCGTGTGAGAATAATAGTTCTATTGAAAATATGAGAACAAAACCTTCCTTTACCTTGAACTATCTTCATTCACCAATTTCTTTTACCCTCCCAGAAACTTCAATAAAGAGTAAATTACATTTTCGTCTTTGTGATTATATGTTTTTAACGGTCCTTTTTTTTTTGAAAATTCAACGGATCTGTCCTATGGTTGCATTTTTACTACGAGATAGGTCCTTAATGCAACCACAAGGACCCAAATCGTTGATTCATTTAAGGACCGAACTTATTAAAAAATACAACGATAGAGAACCAACTAATTAAAAAATGCAAACACAGAGACGTAATTCGTTAAACAATGAAACACAAGGACACATTATGTTGAATTTTCAAAAAAGGGACAAGGACCGTTAAAAATACTTAATTACATGAACGAAACATGTAATTTACTCGTGTATTAACGAATGGAAAAGTGCCTAAAATATGTAAAAGTTTGTGAAAGTGAGTGAAAGTGAAGATGATATTGAATATTAAGATTGATGAAGATATTATGAAATTTCATGTTTTGGGCCGACAGTCAATTAAAGGTAATTGGATGTTAGTGATTATTATAGACGTAAGGTCATAAAATAAACTCCTATAGGTTTATAACTTATTTTCACCATTCTCATCATAAGTCTTAATTCAGGGTCGGTCGTGGTCACGGCTGCAACCAAGTGTGGCCGCATGGGGAATCAAAGCCTAAAGGGGCATCAAGTTGTCATCTATTACTAGTTTTGAGTTTAATAATTTGACAATTGGACAATTGAGCTTTAACTATAAAAACAGGCCCAAGGCCTAGTGTGATGAATACTGAATAAACATCGTAAACCAGTTAATGCCATCATTCCAACAAATCAATCTAATTTCTATTGTTCTTCAAAGTTCGACTATTTCGATTTTCAAGGCATGAAGTTCTCTTTCCAGCCGATTAACGGTCATGTAATCAGATTCAAGAAATCAAAGATAAAAATCTCGAATGACTGATTTCTACTGTTGATTGAACTTACCGAGTTGTTGTGTGATTCATATTATGATTTATGAATCTTTAAATATTTTTGCAAAAAAATCTAAATTTCTAATTGATTATTATAAAGTTGGGTCATGTGGTCGTGTGGGTTACTTACCTACTAGGCTAAGGCGAATGAGCTTTTGTCATTTTGATAATGAGTCTTCCTCTTGCATATTGAAATATTTGATAATTGAAATTTTCAATGCAAATGAGCACATCACTATATCAACATATCTGGAACACACTGCACAACATATTGTGATATTGTCTTAATTATTGAACACTTGTTCTTTGCAATGAACATTAACATAGATTATGAATTTGACAATTTATTATTATTCTTTTGAATTTTGTTTACTTTGAGGTTTGGAATACCAAACTAGATTTAGGGGCTGTTTGATTGATTTTTTATTAAGTTTTATGTGGATAAAGTTGTCTGTATGAATTAATCTGTTTGTATAAGTTGGAAAAGTTTTGTTTGGGAGAGTTTTTTCGTCGATGTAAGGAGCATTTTTTTAGTTGGAAGGGACATGTTTGGAAAAAAAAAAAAACTTGGTTTTCTATATAAAACTCCCCCTAGAAGCTTAATGGATAAGTCACCTTCTATATCATTAAGCCATTACGAAACAGTCATGCACAGTTAAGCAACTAAGCTGTTAGTTCCATTAGGCTTTTAAGTTGCTAACAGATAGGCCCTTAGCCTTTAGTCGTTAGACTTGTAACTTTTGAGTTTTATTTTTTCCTTGCTATGACAATAATTTGGATATAATTTACTATTTATAGTTAAAAAGTAGTTATAGTTTTCCTTGTCTTTTAAGTCCCATATATTGGGGAAAAAATTTATGTTGCTAATTTCAATTTGGAAAAGGGAAATCTGGAAAAGAAGGAAGCACGATCAATCAACATGGGGATGAGATACTTAATTTGAATAGGTTCTAAACTCTTTAAGAAATCACATGTTTCGTTGTTTCATTGGCTTAAAAAATAGGCTTGTGGACATTTTTTCACTATTTTCGCACATGACATCAAAAATCTTAGGATCGGCATGAGTTTTATTCTCAATGAGACCCAACCTTATATCTATATTATATTATAAAATATTCGACAAAAACTCTTAAAACCATTTTTTATGCATGAAGTACTGTTTATTGATTCATATTACTTAAAATTCAGGATTACAAGTAAATTGTGCATGAGTACAACTTACTAAACCTCTATTTTTGAATTCATGTAACTAACTGTAGATAAACATAATTATGTACCAGATAAACATCACATTTTAAATATAAAAAATCTAAAATATAATTAGGATAATCGTTGAGTTCTAATAGCATACTTAATTATTATATTTACAAAAACTTATATTATTAAACCAACATAAATTGAGTTGTTATTAAACTAATATAATACTTAATTATTATCTTTATAAAAAAATTATTAAACCAAAAATAAATTGATTCATTATTAGACCTAAATTATTATAATAAAAAAATTGAATTAAAGAAATTATATAAAAACGGATAACTTTTAAATAGTTAATTTGATAGTAATATCGATATTTTTTTTCAAAATTTTAATTACATTATCTTCAAATTTATATTTTATTCAAAAATAAAAACATCATCACTTTCTCAAAACTATATAAAACTGTACCGTGTCAATATACAAAGAATAAAATGAAATAATAAAATCAAGATGTATCTCGCTGCATTGTGCGAGTACCCTTCTAATATATATATATATATATATATATATGTGTGTGTGTGTGTGTGTGTGTATGTATGTATATATATGACAATTATCAAATGAGAATCACCAAAATGTTACAAATGCTATTATTTGAATATATATGACGATAATCACCATGAGAACTGACGATATAAAAATATTTTTATATGATTTTTTTATGAAATGCTATTATTTAAGGTAAGTTGTTCCATATATGTTTGTTTTCACATTGTGAAAAAATATATGTGAAACTTTTTTTGGTTCACATGTTGAAAGGAAATATACATGTTAAAAAGTTTCACATTGCGAAAAAAATATATATGAATACACTACAACAAAATTGACTTTATGGGATATCTAAAATGTCTAAAAGCGTTAGAATGGGTGTATAAAACACTTTTAGCATTTTAACAAGTTCTCCAGGACGATTTTTTATTAGCTATTTTATAGGACACTTTTAGAAAATGTTCTATAAACCCATCTTTTTATAGGACAATTGTGTTTATAAGACATTTTTTCAAATAGTGTCGTATAAAATAATTAATGCGGCACATTGTTTCAAAAGTGTCCAAAAAACTTATGAAAACATCTAAAAAAGTGTCTTATAAACCTATTATAGCACTTTCAGATAAGATGTTTTTTGGTTTGATTCAATAATTCTTATAAAGTATTTTATTAAGATGCTATACATTTTAGGTGTCTTATAAAACCATTTTTTATTGTAGTCACACTACCTTAAATCCTACACTTTGATTAAAAAAAAGCATGGAAAAAAATATTTTTAGATCCATTCCACGGGTTTGTAACTTTTTGTAGTTCTGATATGATTTACCCCGTATATATATATATATATATATATATATATATATATATATATATATGAGCATAATCAAATGAGAATCCATATTTTATGATAATCGTGGAAAATGTTACCTTAAGATATATATATATATATATATATATATATATATATATATATATATATATAGAGCATAATCAAATGAGAATCCATATTTTGTGATAATCATGAAAAATGTTACCTCAAGATCTTATTTCATGTTGTTTTTTTATCTAAGACTATGATTTAAGAAAATTGATTAACATATATATATATATATATATATATATATATATATATATATTCATTTTACAATGTTTTTGTTTCCTATGTATTTGATTTACAATTTGAAACTTTTTATGTGCATTTTTGTTTCACAAACATGTAAAAAAGGTTTAAATTGTGAAACACATATATGTGAAAAAAATAGATCATAAATCGAATATATATTAATCAATACCGTAAATATTAGTATTAGATGAAAAAATCATGTGAAATGGCACACCATGCACAATATCTACCAATTCTCAAGGTTCTCACAATTTTATGAGAATAATTCTGAGCCTTTCGACGAGTTGACCTTTTAATCTAGCTTCATTTTTTTTAACTAAATTCATCTATCTTCAATTAGATTCATCGATTTTTATTTTCAAATTTATCTTCAATTATAGGTCATTTTCACGAACTTTTACATACATTTAATACTTTTACATGCACGAATTTGTTAAACATTTGGTGATCGTGATAAAGAAGAAAAAAATAAATAAACTTAGTTAAAATGTATATGAATGTTTTTTCCTCACATTCTCATCACAACTCTTGTTCTCATCGGAACACGAGTCCTATATGTAGAGAGAGAGATAAAGAATATTAGGTTCATACAAAAATAATAAACAAATAAGAGAACATGAAAATCAAATCACATGTAATTCATATCTGATTTGACCCTTTTTTTCTTTTTGACCAATGTTCTCGTTTGATTCTCCTCCTCTCTCTTTAAATATCTATCTATACATATATAAGCAAATGATTGTGTGAGAAAGAAAACTAAAGTTAGAAATGTAATAAAGGATCTCAACCCTTGATCGTCTTATCTCAAATCCACCCATAAATTGTGCTTGATACATTTTTGATCTGATGTATCTCAGTGCATCTCATTCTAGTGTGTATTCAATGATGGAGGATATTTCTTATACTTCTCACCTTAACTCTCTTTCTCACTGAAACCCAACCTTACACACACACACACACACACACATATATATATATATATATGGGGTGGGATTCATGTGAGACCAAAGGTTTTTCTTGAGACCCGTAAGACCAATTTATGTTCGTTGATCAACTTTATAAGCTAATGATCTAATGGTCTAAAGTTGTACGGTGACAATTTTGTGATTATTGAGAAGTCTCGTGGTAATTTTGTGATTATGAATATTCATATTTTAGATCTAATCCAATGGTTGAGAATTAGTCTTACGGGTCTCGCGAAAAACTCTTGGTCTCACATGATCCCAAGTCTATATATATATAGGGTATATTTCAAATACAACCATATCCATTTATACAACCCAATTAATTGAGATATATATTCCCCAACCCCTTTCATTTAGTCATGCAGCTGTCAATCCTTACAAGAAAGCCACAAACTCAACCCCCTCTATCTAATATCCAGCAAATTCTTCTAGTGTCAAGATTCTTTCTCTCTCTCCCAACCCAACTATACTTTAGAGATAATTAACTTCGAAAACACCCATAAAATATAAAAACTACAACTATAAACCGCAACACCCACCACCACAAAACTAATACAACACAAATTAGTTTTCTTTAATCATCAATTTGCATCACCATCATATCTTCTTCAAATTTCTTCAGAGAGAGAGAGAGAGAGATTGATGAAAGAGTCAGAGATACAACACCACCACTTATCTTTGTTGCATCAGACAGAATTGCACAGCATCTCTAACTTAATCATTCATTCATTCATTTAGTTGAGTCCTTGTCTTTGATGGCCTACGGTCAACATTACCGATCACCCTTCGGAGACACAAGTTTGACCAAGGTGTTTGTGGGAGGGCTTGCTTGGGAGACACCCCTCGGAGAAATGCGTACATATTTCGAGCAGTTTGGTCACATTCTTGAAGCTGTTATTATCGCCGATAAGATCACCGGCAAATCTAAGGGTTATGGCTTTGTAAGTTTCATACTTAATAAATTTCCCCTTCTTTATATATATATATATATATTAATTAATAAAGCTCATATATATATATTTATGTTACTAATTAATTAAGGTGACATATGAGAATGCTGAATCTGCAAAAAGAGCTTGTAATGATCCAAATCCTATGATAGATGGAAGACGAGCAAATTGTAACATTGCATCTCTTGGCCGACCCCAACCCCAACCCCAACCCCAACCCCAAGGTATATATATATTGTTTTTATTTTAATTAAGTTTTATAAACCATTCCACCGTTTCCAGATTAAAAAAAATGTAGGAAATAAATTTAAAAAGTTAGACCCTTTATTTATTTAAAGAATATGTTTAACATTCTAAAATTAGAAAGTTTTACCGTTTATTAATTTGTTTAAAAAACTATCAGGATTTATTGAAAATTAATTAATGTAGGAAAAAGTCAAGGTGGCATTGCATCTCCGTCTTATAGCGGTGTGTTAGCTCCTCCGCCATCACCCTCGTCATCCGTCGTCTATCCACCTTATGGGTGAGTTTTTCAAGTCTCAACTCAAGCATATATATATATATATATATATATATATATATAATGCATGCAACTTGTGAATTAAATATAGGTTTTTAAATCTATTGCAAAATAAATTTAAAACACAAAAAGAAGCAGAGTTTTTATAGTATTCATCTCTTAAAATAACTTGCCTATTTTTTAAACTGATTTACCAATTATAATTCGATATTTAAACTATAATTGTCATTTTTATAGCATCATCTTTGTATAAATGGTTTAGAGGTTTTTTTTTTGTTAAGGAAACAAAAATTAAATATTATAATTTTTACATACATAATAATGATATATATATATATATATTCAATTAAATATCAAAAATATTAGTATTATATTTTAATTGTAGTACTCAAATTACATTTTTATGTGTAAGATGTCAGGTAATCAATGAATTTGGTATAATTGTGATTTATTTAAGATCGATAAAGATGATAAGGTAAACAATATGCATTAGGAATTGTAGATTATGCACTCATTAATGTTGTTTCTATCACTTTAGATCATTATAAGACAAAGTCCAAGGGGAATTGCCTCGAAACTCTACGGATTCTAAGGAGTTTACTATGGACTTTAATAAGTTTACTTAGGGACTTTAAGTTTCGGGACGTTTTACATGACACTGCATCAAAATTGGATTTATGGGACGCTACCAATTTCTAAGCGTTCTAATAGACTATTTCATAAGACTCGGTTTGTAGAATCAAAAAATAAAGCGTCCTATCTAAATACGTTGTAATAAATTTATATGACGCTTTTATACATCTTAACAAATCTTTTAGGACAATTTTAATAATAAACGTCATGTTTACAATTTTATAGGGAACTTGTTTTAATATGACACTTTTTCAAATAGTAGCTTATAAAATTGCTAATACAACGTTGTGTATTAAAATGTCCTAAAAACATCCTATAAATTTATTACAACATCTTCAGATAAAACGTTTTATTTTTTGTTTCTATAAATTTTAGGGTATTTATAAATTATTATATTATGGTTGGATGTGAGTTGGTTTTATATCGACAAGTTGGCAACACCCTAGCTAGCTAGTACATTTTCATTAATTTATTAAAAAACAAATTTAACTTTGTAAATAAAATTGTTAACTAATATCAATATTAATTAGTAACATGAATTCTGATCATCGTCTTTTATGCAATTCAATGTAAAACATTTCCACTTATTCATGATTAATTACTTTTCATCTTTTATCAATCCAGATATGCAACTTATTCTTCAGAATACGCTTATCATCACGTAAGTTTTCTCTACAGTTTCTCTCTATATTGCATAAAAATTGTGTTTTGATATATTATTTTGTTACGTTATCAAGTTGTACATCTTTTATTCAAGATCTTGGTTATAAAGTGCCTAAAATGTTTAAATATCTTAATAGAGTGTCTTATTAGACTTAAGTTTACATGTAAAAGTGTTACAATAAGTTCAATCACACTTTTTAATGTCGTAACAAGTTTTTTAAAACATATTTAAAATAAAACGTCATATTACTTATATAGAACCCTTTTGAGAAATATCTCATAAACTCATTTCTTATAGGACTCTTGTGTTTATAGAACATTTTTTTATAGGATACTTTATTTTAAAAATATTATAAAAAACTTGTTACAACTTTCAAAAAATACTATATTAAAAGCAATTTATACGTTGTATTAGCTCAGTTTTAATGTGGTAGTTTTTCATGGTCTAAACAACCAATAAAATAAAGGAAAAAGTTAAAAAAAAAAACCAATGGACTGAAGTGTTAGGAATGATTAAGTTATTAGACAATTTTTTGGAACAAATAAGTCCTTGGACATTCCAAAATCTGTTAAATAAATCCTTGGACTTTTTAAAACCTGTTAGATACATCCTTATGACTTATAAAAATGATTAATGTGATAAAATAAGGGAAAAAAACCTAAAAAAAAACCCAATTAACTTTCATATTTTAAGCGATTCAAGTCTCTAAACATTTTTTGAACAAAAAAAATACTTACATATATAAAATGAAACAAATATACCAAAAAAATACTTACATTTAGAAAAGATTATTGATGAAATATATTTTGAATAAAAATAAAAAATATTTCCAAAATTTTTTCAAAGAATTAGAATTTAAAAATATAAATATAAATTCT